GCCCTACTGGAATGTAAACTGCAGGAGGGCAAGGAATTGTATTTTTGTGCCCCGGGATACTGCTAGAACATAGAACAATTCTTGGCACTGAGAAGATGGCAACAAATATTTGTCGGACGAACATTCCTATTTTGCGCCAGGCACTGTGCCATTTTTTTTTTTTTTTTAAGAGATGGGGTCCTTGTTACATTGCCCAAGCTGGTCTCGAATTCCTGGCCTCTAATGATGCTCCCGCCTTGGCCTCCCAAATTGCTGGGATTACAGGCGTGAGCCACTGCACCCGGCCCACTATCCTAGTTTATTTATTTATTTATTTATTTTTTGAGACGGAATTTCGTTCTTGTTGCCCAGGCTGGAGTGCAATGGTGTGGTCTCGGCTCATTGCAACCTCCTGCTCCTGAGTTCAAGTGATTCTCCTGCCTCAGCCTCCCAAGTAGGTGGGATTACAGGCGCCCACCACCATGCCCGGCTAGTTGTGTGTGTGTGTGTGTGTGTGTGTGTGTGTGTGTGCGTGTGTTTGGTAGGGACAGGGGTTTCTCCATGTTGGCCAGGCTGGTCTCAAACTCCTGACCTCTCAAAGTGCTGGGATTACAGGCATGAGCCACCGTGCCCGGCCGACTCACTATCCCAGTTTTAAACAGCCAATGACAGCCTTGTGGCAGGAAGGTGGTTGTACACTCATTCCTATTTTAATGATCAGGGATCAGGTTCGGAGAGCCCAGGGCGGAGACCCCGCCCGCATCCAGGGCACCCAACGGCGGCTGGGCGAGAGTCCGGGAGCTCCAAACCGCCTCGGGCCGCCTGCTTGGGCTCCACGTTGCTCACCTTGGCCTCGGGCTGACTCTCCTCGAGATCCCAACTGGCTTTCATCGCCTCAGCTGCCCCGACCAGCTTGTTTGGGGCCTGCCTCCTTTTCCTGACCTTCCTGGGGTGTCTCTCGGTCCCTTCCCTCTCTGGCTCCATGGCTGTGGAGAAAGATCAGCTAGAGCTGGGGAAACTCCAGCGCCCCTATCCCCCGCGTGCCGCCTCCTAGCGGGAGAGCTGCACGGGCTTGACGGCTTTCAGTTTACCGAACTATCTCCGTCCCCCTAAAAAAGCAAAGGTGCCAGCGATCTCCCGGTTCCGCGGACTGGACACCCGCGCCGCTCTAACCCAAACGGCTTTACCGTCCGCATCGGATACCGGATTCCCAACGGTTCCCCAACGGCTAAAACGGGCGTCTGCCTGGCAAAGAAAGAAGGAGGTGCTGCCGAGCGGCTTCCCCTCCTAAAACCACTCCCCCCACCTCCCAGCCCGGGAAACGCAGAAGAGAAGCCGGGCGGAGAGCAGAGGCTGTCCCCACCTTAGCCACAGCCGCCAACAACAACCGCCCTCTCAGCCTCGCGGGCGGTTTGAACGGACCGGAAGTAGAAGTCGAGCGACTTCCGGCAGCTGGACTTGGAACAGCAGGGAGTGTTGGGAATGGCGACGAAGCGGCTCGCGCGGTACTCGAGGGGGTTACGGGTGGGGGGCGGGTAGCTCCGGGTTCGGCGCTGGCGTGGGCGGCAGAGCAGGGCACGGCAGGTGGCATCTGCGGTGACGGCCTCCATTACTTGCAGCCCCGGCGTCTGAGACCTGCCCTCCCTGGCATGATTGGAAAGGCGCCTCCCTGGACCTCGGTCTTCAGCCTTGGGCCGCCTTCTACCCGAGGGTGACAGGAGGAGGCCTACAAACCCTGGGGTCTTGACTGTGTGGCCTTGAGCCAGTGCCTACCCATTTTAGGCCTCGGGAAACGACTGGACGTGACAGTGCCCTGCAGACTAGTTGGAGGTCTCAGGCAGGCCACCCTGAACCCATCAAGGTGTTCAACCTGTTTGAAATGCTCGTTCCTCGGTGCTGTAAAGAAATAGAACTTGAACTTAAATTTAATTTATTTAGTAAGGTCATTTTTACTTCCTGCAGAAAGGGTACACTTGCCAGCAGTTTTGCCAGGGGACTGCACTGAATAAAGGAGACAGGGTCATTTATAACGTGGCGCGTCCACCCTACTGCTGTGTCTGGTTTCCATTGGCTGGAATGGGACCTCACATTCAGTGTTTGTCCGGATTGACTAGCAACTTAGAACTTTTTAGAAGAGGCAAAGGTAGAGGAGAACAAAGGAAGGAGGAAGTAACTTGTTGGAATGCTGAGAAAGGTAACAACACTTTTAAATAAGGAAGAAGAACAGGCTATGACCTAATGTTTGATTGGACCAGTATAAGCATGCCAGGGCAAATATTTAGGCTAAATTGTGGGAGCTAAGCACATAAAATACATTGATTTCTTTATTATGGCTATCAGATATTTAAGAATGTTATCACAGGTCTTTGAATAAATTTTGCTCTAAGAGAAGTTACTATTTATTCCTAATTAGACGGGGAAGGAAGTCTTTGAAGAGGAACTTCTACTTTACTTTTTACAAACCCATTTTCTAGTGATCTTTATTATTATTTTTTTTTTGACACGGAGTTTTGCTCTTGTTGCCTAGGCTGGAGTGCTCTGGTGCTATCTCAGCTCCCCACAACCTCTGCCTCCCAGGTTCAAGTGATTCTCTTGCCTCAGCCTCCCAAGTAGCTGGGATTACAGGCTTGTGCCACTACGCCCGGCTAATTTTGTATTTTTGGTAGACACGGGGTTTCTTCATGTTGGTCAGGCTGGTCTCGAACTCCCGACTTCAGGTGATCCACCCGCCTAGGCCTCCCAAAGTGCTGGGGTTATAGGTGTGAGCCACTGTGCCTGGCCTAGTGATCCATTTAATTCACAATATGAATCATTGTGTCCTCCCTGATTCCTGGACGTGCTGTGCATATTTCTGATTACTAGAAGGATGTAATATATTAGCAAATAGCATGAGCTTCAGAAGTGGACAGTCTTGGGTTCACATACCAAAGCTGTGTTCCTTGGCAAATTAAGAATCAGTTTTCTCATCCATAAAATATAGGTAGGAAAAGTTTCTAGCTACTACACTTGCTGAGGATTAAAGGAGGCTGTCATCTTAGTTTAGTACCTGCTATGTAGTAAGCAATTAATAAATGATATTTATTGTTCCCAAATCCTGGCACTTCCCTCTCTTAAACACAGAAAACTATAGGAGGTGTCTGCCTAGTTAAAACTCTACCTACTAATACCAAGTAGTTTGTTTTACTTGCACTTAAGACCTCAGTAAGCTCGTCTCTTTTTTTCTTCTTTATTTTATTTATTTAATTAATTTTTTTGAGACAGGATCTCACTCTGTTGCCCATGCTGGAGTGCAGTGGCATGATCTCGGCTCACTGCAGTCTCCACCTCCCGGGCTCAAGCAATCCTCCCACCTTAGCCTCCTGAGTAGTTGGCACTACAGGTGTGCACCATCATGCCCCAGCTAGGTTTTATAATTTTTATAGAGATGGGGTTTCACCATGTTGCTCAGGCTGGTCTCGAACTCTGGAGCTCAAGCAATCCACCTGCCTTGGCCTCCCAGAGTGCTGGGATTACAGGCATGAACCACTTTATCTGGCCCTATCTTTTGTTTCTTTACCCAGATTTTTAAGCTGGAAGACTGAACCATGTCCTACATTGTCTTGTCTTCTTAAAACTGCACTGTACACATAGCAAGAGCTTAAAAAATGCAGGGGGAAAAATAAGATTTTCAGTGCATTTTTACCTGTACAATCAAATGATTGTAGGAACTCAAATAAGTTCCTCAGTATTACTATAAAATAAGGGTAACATAAAATTAGTGTAAATTGGCTGGACACGGTGGCTTAGGCCTGTAATCCCAGCACTTTGAGAGGCTGAGGTGGGAGGATCGCTGGAGCCCAGGAGTTTGAGATGAGCCTGAGCAACATAGTGAGACCCTGTCTTTACAAAAAAAGAAAAAAAAAGAAGAAAAAAAATTAAAGCTAGTGGGCCATGGTGGCACGCGCCTATAGTCTTAGTCAGGAGACTGTGGTGGGAGGATTGCTTGAGCCCAGGAGACTGAGGCTGCAGTGAGCAGTGATCATACCACTGCACTGCAACCTAGGTGACAGAGCGAGACCCTGTCTCAAAAACAAAACCAACAAATTAGCCTAATTTGCAAATATATACTTTCGAGGCCTATGCAGGTAAACCCAAAGTCCAGTTCAATTTCCCCTCAGTCACAATAAATAATGAGATTCTTGCCCAGTACCATTAGTCTGGTAGCCTATTCAAACAGGAGTGTGAATGAGTTTGTTGATCATATTTGGATTGCTTCACATTTTTAGGCAGCTTGGATTAATTAGGAGAAAGTCAATTGCTCCAGCAAATGGAAATCTAGGAAGAAGCAAATCCAGTGAGTAGTATGCTTAGTTTCTTTGTGTTTTGTAGCTTTGCATTTTCAGCACTGGTAAAGCATAAGAACAACTTGATCTTTTGCAGAGCAGTTGTTTGACTACTTAATTGTCATTGATTTTGAATCGACATGCTGGAATGATGGGAAGCGCCACCATAGCCAGGAAATAAGTAAGTCTGGGCTACGAATGGCCAAAGCTGGCACTAGATGAGTCACTTTAAAGTTTATAGATATAAATCAGCCAAGAGTTTAAGAAAACAGGATGGTCTGTGCATTGGTAATTTAATGTAAAACCTGTGTTGAATAAAGAAGAGCAAAATCCCAAATACCTAAACGTGTTATTATATAAAATAGTTGTTTTATATTACATACAACACCTCAATGGCATAGAAACTGGAAAAAAAAACCTTTGCAAAAAAAGTAAATTTTATATTCAATATGGTTTTTATATTTAATTATATTGAGTTTTCTTTTTAGACAACATGCTTATGACTTCAATATTTTGATTTATTCTTTAGCATAACTTTATTATAACCTTTATGTCACACTGCTTTGGTCATTTTAGTATGCTTTTACTGAAAACGGGTTGTTTAATTACAATGGTAACATGTTTAATTTAGGATGATTACAGGATTAATTTAAAAATTATTTATTCAACTGTCAATTGATTATTCTTTCATTTAGTTGAATTTCCAGCAGTGTTGCTGAACACATCAACTGGACAGATTGAATCTGAGTTCCAGGCTTATGTTCAACCTCAGGAACATCCAATTCTTTCAGAATTTTGCATGGAATTGACAGGCATAAAGCAGGTATGATGCAAATCTTCAAATTCAGAGGTCAGTTTCAAAAAGAAAATAAAAGCTATTATACCATTTGGAATTAGATTTATTTAGTGTTAGGCATGATGGCTTATGCCTGTAATCCCAGCACTTTGCAGGCTGCTGTTTGAGAATTGCTTGAGGCCAGGAGTTTGAGACCAACCTAGACAACATAGTGAGAACTCCATCCCTACCAAAAAAAAAAAAAAAAAAGAAAATTTAGCCTGACTTCGTGGCATGTGCCTGTGGTCCCAGCTACTTGGGAGGCTGAGGCTGAGGTGGGAGGACCACTTGAGTCCAGGAGTTTGAGGCTGCAGGGAGGTATAATCTCAGTCTATCCCGGGCAACAGACCTTGTCTCTGAAAATAAATAAATAAGTAAATAAATAAATAAGATTAGTGTTATTCTAGATTCAAGACTCGATTTATGTATTTATTTATTTATTTTTCAGACAAAGTCATGGCTCTGTTGGCCAGGCTGGAGTAAGGTGGCTGAGTTCATTGCAACCTCTGCTTCCTGGGTTCCAGCAATTCTCATGCCTCAGCTTCCTCAGTAACTGGGACTATAGGTACATGCCACCACACCTGGCTAATTTTTATATTTTTAGTAGAGACAGGGTTTCGCCATGTTGGCCAGGCTGGTCTCGAACTCCTGACCTCAAGTGATCTGCCCACCTTGGCCTCCCAAGGTGCTGGGATTATAGGCGTGAGCCACCTCAGGACTCGATTTAAAAAGCAAAGGAACATACCTGTAATCCCAGCACATTGGGAGGCCAAGGTGGGTGGATCACCTGAGGTCAGGAGTTTGAGACCAGCCTGGCCAACTTGGCAAAACCCCGTCTCTACTAAAAATACAAAAATTAGCCAGGCATGGTGTTACACACCTGTGATTCCAACTACTTGGGAGGCTGAGGCAGGAGACTCACTTGAACCCAGGAGGTGGAGGTTGCAGTGAGCTGAGATCTTGCCACTGCACTCCACCCTGGGCAACAAAGCAAGACCTCGTCTCAAAAAAAAAATTTTTTTTTAATTAAATAAATAAATAAAAAGCAAAGGAAGAATAGTGTTATAAAAATGAGGATCAAATTGATTTTATAGAAATTAAGTGACTCAAATTTGTCTTTCATTTCTGTCAGTCTGGGCTTAATGATCATATTTCTCTGTGATTTTAGTTTTTATCAATCTAATCTTTCTTACCTTGGTGGATTCTATGTAATTTCTTTCCCATGTGTTTTTACCTCTTTCCACTAAATAAACTCTTCTCCAGTTAGAACCACTTTGTTATATCTTCCCACAGTACACTGTGTTTTCATGACTTGGCATTTCTGATTCTTTTAAAACCATTAATCTTTCTCCACAGTTATAAAATATGCTAAATAATCATGGAATTTGATTGTTGAATTCAGCTTTTGTGACTCTACTCAGGCTCAAGTTGATGAAGGAGTCCCTCTGAAGATTTGCTTATCTCAGTTCTGTAAATGGATTCATAAGATTCAGCAACAGAAGAACATTATTTTTGCTACTGGGGTTTCAGAGCCTTCTACTTCTGAAGTAAAATTATGTGCATTTGTTACTTGGTCAGGTAAAAAATAAGTTATACCTATTAATCACAAATGGGTAGCATTACCACTGTGTGATTCTTTCTTTCTAGTTTTATACTTGCTAACCTAGAATTATATTTGTTAATCTTCTGGGCTAGGATGAAAAGTTTAAATGCCTAGCAGATATTAGCCAAGAAAAGTAAATTCATATTTTTTTTTAAATTAACCTTTTGGAATACCTTAAAATATTAAGCCTGAACTTAAAATAAAAAATCTTTTTAGAGTTCCACTATTATGAATTAAGCAAAGATGATTTAGTGAACACTCTTATCATGCTCTTTTCTAGAGTCTTCGTCAGCTCAACATCCTTTGCTTTTATGCTTTGACACTTAAAAGAAAAAAAAATGAGCCATTTAAAGTAGGTTTTTTGTATGACTGTGTTAGAGCATTGCTGTTAATAGTCATTGATAGCAATACTGTGTTATTGATAGCATAGCATTGATAGTCATATTTGGTTTACAGTTACTACAAAATGTTTCATTTCTCAATAACATTAATATTTTCCTGGAATATAGAAAATATAGTCCTTGTAATTTAACATCTTACTCTTCTTTCTGAAATAAGGTTTTACTGGGTGTTTAAGAAATCATTTTGAAATTTAGTCATCAATCCTAACTTGTTAATAGTAAGTTATATGAAGCGAATAATTTTTAGGTATTAGCAGAGCAATGAAATCTTACTGTTCTATTTTATATGATCTTACAGCATTCTATTTGTAAATGGTGGCAGCATAGGTAAAAAGTGCTGGCATCGTTGACTTTGTTCTATTTTAATGTACCTAATGCAGACTGGGACTTGGGGGTTTGCCTGGAGTATGAGTGTAAAAGAAAACAGCTGTTAAAACCTGTGTTTTTAAATTCTTGGATTGATCTCAGAGCAACTTACAAGGTAACGGTCAAAAATTGGGGCATGTTTACTTTTTTCTATTAAAAAATGATTAACTGTTATCCTACACATGGGCATGGGTTTCTACAAATAAGATATTTTCTTTTGCACTGGTCACATAAGTGCATTTCTTAAAGTATTTAAAAACAACACACAAAAATGAGCATACTCTAAATCTAATAGAACTAAAAATTATGAAAAGTAGTTAATACATAGCCTTTAAAATAGTAATATATTTTTAGATATATCTTCTTTTATTTGTTTAGCTTTTCTATAGGAGAAAACCAAAAGGACTAAGTGGTGCCTTGCAGGAAGTAGGAATAGAATTCTCAGGACGAGAACATTCTGGTTAGTATAAATTAAAAATGATGTAAGCCATTTGACTTTTTAAAAATATTTCATATGAATTTCATTTTTTGGTAATGTCATTAGTAAAGGAGATCTTCAGCCTAAAAAAAAAGCTCCTAAACAATTCACATTGTGTTTTCTAAGACTTTCAAATTACCACTTTCATAAACTACTGTAAGATACACTGCCATCTAGTGGCTTTCTAGTTGCTAAAAAGAATGAAAAGAAAGAGCCAAATCAAATGGAGATTAAACAAGTGCTCAAATAATAGAATGGACTAGTGAAAAAACTGAACAAGACTATTAGATTATTCACAAATCCTAGTTCCTACGGAACGTTGGCCACATTTTGGGAGATTGTCTAATACATTTTCATATCCTCTATAAATGTGGATGAGCTTGTCTTTCATTGGTAATGCTGCCATAGCCTTCCACTTCCAAGACCAGTTTATCATTATTAAAATTAGTAGAGGGTCATAAAACTAAAACTATGTTCCAGTTTCTGCACAAGTGGTGTTTTTTTTAATGTTATTTCTTTAGTACTAAGGAAATAGTACTAGTACCACTAAATTCAGTGTTTGATATCTATATCCTCAGGGTTGGACGATTCTCGGAATACTGCCCTTCTTGCTTGGAAAATGATCAGAGATGGTTGTGTAATGAAAATTACAAGATCGTTGAACAAGGTTAGTAGTGTCTTGCCTCTTTATTCTGTCATCTCAAACTTCATAAACAGTCATACGTTCTTTGAAATGTAGATTTAATGTGTGCAGTCATTTATAAATCAATGATATTTCCTTTTTTTGTCATAAACTGTATACTGAAGAAATTATGAATGCAGAGTTTCTAAAGCTATTGCATTTGTCTGTGAAATCATAGGTTCCCACTAAGAATTCCAGCATTCTGGCCAGAAATTTGAATATAAATCAAGTTGAAGAAATGTCTGCCTATACCATTAGCATCCAGGGTCCCAGCATATATAATAATGAGCCTAAAAATACAATAAATCCTCATGAAAAAGTTCAAATGAAGTCAATTTGTGCAAATTCTCCTATAAAGGCACAACAGGATCAATTACAAGTAAAGAACAATGTAAAAGCAAGTCTTCACAATGTCAAAAGTTGCTTATCTGTTTTTAATACTAAGTCCTCTACTTCTCTGGGGCAGTTGCAGTCTCCTACCTTGAATTCACCTATCTATATGCAAAAGCAAGGAAAAAATGAGCATCTTGCATTTAATACCAAATTTAAGTCTTCAACAGTTGGTTCAGAATTGGTACTTGTTTCTACCACCATTCCAACTGTTCATCATGTTTCTGATTTGGAAATGAGCTCTACTCTGGACAGTTTACCTATGTTGGCTGATTGGGAGGATGTGGTTTTACTGCCAGCATCTCAGCCTAAGAAAAACATAGACTGTACAGTTCCCATTAGTGACTCAGACTTAGAGATTTCATTTAATTCTGGAGAAGGATTAATGGTTTTGAAAGAATTGGAAATGCCAAGTCATGAAAACTTTGGAGACATAGAGGAAACTCCTAAAAAATCTGAGACTTCTAACTCTATTGTGTACAAGAGTCCTCACACCACTATTTATAATGTAAAAGAAGCCAAAGATCCAGGTTCAGATATTTCTGCCTTTAAGTTACCTGAACACAAATCAGGTACCTTCAACAGAGTTAATGCCAGTATGTCTCATCCTTTAGTTTTGGGGAAACATTCTCTTCTTTCAGGTGGTACCAAAAGGAATCCACGCAGTCCCCAAGCTTTCCCACTAGCAAAAAAACAACCCTTCACTATTCATGAAGAAAAGCCTACATCATCTGATTGCTCCTCAGTAAGAAGTTCTTCCTGGAAGCATCTCCCACCTATATTAACTTCTACAGTTAACCTACAAGAGCCTTGGAAGAGTGGGAAAATGACACCTCCCTTATGCAAGTGTGGTCGAAGATCTAAGAGACTTGTTGTTTCTAATAATGGACCAAACCACGGGAAAGTCTTCTATTGTTGCCCTATTGGGAAATACCAAGAAAACAGAAAATGTTGTGGTTATTTCAAATGGGAACAAACACTTCAAAAGGAAAGAGCCAACAGCATGGTTCCATCTCATTCCACAGGGGGAGTCACGTTTAATTCACCAGAAACGAGCCATATTTGTGACAGAAATTTAAGTATTTCCACCAAAAATTCTTTGAGACTCAGGCCTTCAATGAGGAATTGATAACCTTTCATGTATGAATCCTAATTGTTCCTTGAATTTCCAAACATGAGTATTCTGATAACATCTTACACTATTTTATTTTTATTTTATATATTAATGTTTACCGAATTTATCATACTTTCTTCAGGAACCACAAATGTAATCTTTTGTAAACAGTATTTATTACATATAATAAGCAACAATAGTATATGATCCTTCTTTTATAGTTAGACCTTGAAACAAGTTTTAAACTATTTTTAAATTATTTGCAAAAAATGTGACTAATAAAAATCCCTGGTCTATTTTCAGGTAGATTCTTGTACTTTGAGAATTATCATAATCTTCTGATATTTTATATTTTTCTAAAAACTTTTATAAGTTCTTTAGTTTTATTTCACGGCTTGAACATTGGTTCTGATTTGTATATCAACATATCAAAATAATTAGTCAACTAAAGTTTGAAAATCTATGTAGCAGAGATTTGGTTTAGAAACTGCTTCTATACTATACATTTAAAAATCAGCAATTGATGACATTTTTATATTAAGAAATGATAGGAACATTGACACTAATGTGGAGGAATTTGCCAAATATTTTATTTCAAAATTTAGCCTCTGATATCATAACCACAAGATATTTTAAATCAACAGTTTCTAAGCATACTACCACAGTTTTTATCACGTCTCCATCATCCTGTGGTTTCTAGAGATTGACAGATACTATGTTTGTTTTATAGATATGGTAATTAATGAAACAAATTTAAATTGTCTTCCATTCTTTCTTTCTCAGTTCATTTCTTTTTGTCTTCCCACTGATAGTCTTTGGCAGCTCTTGAATAAATTCTACCTGTTGGCATCAAGAGGAAGAAAATTAGCCTGGAAATTTTTATCTTTACATAAAGCCAATTATATAGCAGTTTGATAATGAATTCTAGGTGGAAGAATTAGAATAGTCTTTGGAATGGGTTTTGGGTAAAACCAAAATAGGGAAAAGGGTATTGTTAGGAAACTTGTCTTGATATTAAGTATTTACTGCAAGTCCAGTAAGCCAAAGGATCAAACAAAATAGGTTCAGGGTTTCATTTTAATCTCAAAGATTCTGATTTTTACCCATATGTCATCAGTTCAGTTTGGGACATGTGGTGTAGCATGTGTGAAGAAAATATTCATTAAAATGTAAAAATAAACAGTTGAAATTTTCCATAACACTGAGCAAATATTTGTTATAATTAGGATGCCTACCTTTCTGGGATATTTGTAAGGTGCTGTAGTTTTTTTAACATGCTCCTGAATCTCCTTTATTAGTTGTTCTTGATCATGTGACTTGTAATCAGGATTTAGAACAATGAAAGCCTTTACTACCTAAAATAAATATTTGAAACACCAGGAAAATGAGTTATGCATTTGTATGTTTTAGTATGTCTTGTGTGCTTGCTCTGAGAATCTACATGCCTGGTGGGGTGGGCCAGTGTGTTTTAATAAAGTTTGATCCCAGATCTGTGCTCTTAAGCCGGCCAGTTAATTCACACATTTCCTGGTCTGTACCTAATACAGGAGAGCCTCTGGGACCCCTATAACAACCCAGCCTGGTCCAGCCTAGCGCTCAGCATGGGGATTACTTATAAACAGTAGTCACGCCAAGTTTGCCATGTCTTTGTTGAAGGGAACAGTTCACAGAGAACATGCAGTCTTTATACAAGGCTGTGAAGATTCCAGCAGCCACTTTTTTATTGCTCTGATCCATTTCCATGGCCCTTAGGAACAAGAGTAGAAATCATGGTGGCCTTTAACTGGTAGAAGCCAAGAAAGACATTATTACTTTATGCTTACAAATCCTGTTCTCCAAATTTTATCCTTCCTAGAAATGTTTTGAAAACTCTGCCTAGTTTTTGGACCTGTAATGGAGAAGACAGAAAGATAGGCCATCCCTCATAGCCCCCTTTCAGGTAAATTTGGAGTCCTGTCATTTTCTCTCCTAGGGCACTACCAGGACTTCCATTTACTGCCTTCCCTAGAGGCATGAGTCTAGGTGCATCAACCAGTATGTACCTCCAAAGCCAGATTACCAGCCCACAGCTGGCTATGGAATGATGCTTCCCTGTAGGCACAGTTCCGGAAGAGTCCCCTGAAGCTTTTTTATGATTAAATATCCTGCACTTAAGTGCCTGAAATCCTATTTAAAGATAAGCTGGCAACATTTCCTATCCACTGATCTGGGAGTAAAGGTTTGATTGAAAAGGAATTATTTGAAACAAATTAGGACAGCCATTTGGTGAGAAACAGACTTGAAGTTATAATTTTTTTCACATATGGAAAACTGTTCACTAGTGGGCAATTTCACATTTTATGAGCAATTATCCATTTTTGTCTTTACCCGAAACCCTTGTGGCCAGGCGCGGTGGGTCACGCCTGTACTCCCAACATTTGGGAGGCCGAGGTAGGAGGATTGCTTGAGCCCAGGAGTTCGAGAGCAGCCTGGGCAACAGAGTGAGACTTTGTCTCTAAGAAAAGAAAGGAAAAAATAACAACAACACTTGAACATTTTTAATTTACATGTATCATGGGTCAGTTGTGAACCCTTGTGTCTGTGTGTGTCTATGGATATAATTTTGTTCCATTCATTGTTTGACATTTTATAAAATGTCAAAATTTTATAATGCTGCATTAACAACATTTTTACAAATTAAAAAATTATGCTTGTTATAAGTGAGTCATTCAAAGGTAAATTATTTTAAAAACTGCAATACTTGTTCACATATTGACGATTCCTACAACTTGGATAAAGTCTCCTTTATATTTTTAAACTACTACAGAAAATGTTAAATTAACAAGGAACAACCTAACATGGGTAAGAATATGAACTCTGAAGTCAGAACAGCTGGGTTCAAGTCACAGTTTGTTATGTAATGTTGGACAAGTTAGGTAATCTCTTTGTGCCTCAGTTTCCTTCTCTGTAAAAGAGATTATGATGATTAAATGAATTAGCATAGATGTATAATGCCTGGCACATAGTATGTCATCAAAAACATTAGCTCTTAGTTGTAGTCGTAGAATTACAAGAAGTTTGGGTCTTTTTTTTTTTTTTTTTTTTTT